AGCACCGCACGCGGGGGCACTCTCTCACGTTGCGGAAACTTCAGTCAGTTGGTCTTCTGTTAGTCTACCGACTCTCGCGTAGGTCAACATACTCTGGAATTCCCTTCCAGCGATTGTGGTGGAAGAGAAGACAAACCCTGCTTTCAAACGGCGTCCGGATGAGCAACTGAAGGAGGAACGAACACTTGTGATCGGACCTTCGACCCAGTGGTGATGGGGCTTACACGGGCACCTTACCCTCTGTCCTCAATCCCGAAGACCGATTCAACACGTGGAACTGATACCGGTTTGATTTTTAGATACAGTGGTACTTCTGTAATCGGTTTATCGATTGAAACTGCGTGAATAGAACAGAAAGCCCTATCAGGTACCGGCTCAAGCAAACTAGATATTCTGTATGGAGTGCAATATTCTGATGCATATATTCGCACAGTGGGATGGTGTCTTTTGATAGCACTGGCATTGAAGCTATTTTCCGGTAAGATATCTCCGAAGTTCTTTAGCTCAGACATGGACAGGATTCAAAATCTTGGGCTAAGTAATAAAGTGGCTTTAATTCGTAAAGTACATCGGGGGTGCAATACTTTTGCAGCGAAGAAAATTCGTTTGTTTTTCGACATAATTTCGTTAAAACTAAAGATAATTTGATGAGATTTCGTACTTCGGGTTTTTCACGCGGTTGCCATCTAGAATCTGAAAACGTTTATGATCATTTATGTGTGAGCTGGGATAATCCAAAGACCTGGGGATTGTGGCTGCAATACTCTTATCGCGGTGTTTATGTATTGTCAATCTAGCATAGATCGGGCACGTAAACAGCGCTGTAAGGAGTCATGTTTGGAGAGCGGAATTCAACATTTCTTCGGTTAGCATTCTAAGCCACTCCAGTTCAAGAGTGTATGATCGTGCGCGCGTACTGCGGCTCCTAGTAATTCTCGCACCATTTTTTCCACCTAGTCTACAACACAGTTTCCTGTTACGGAACCCATGGTTGGATTGAAATCAATCAGTGTTTGTATGGTTTTTCATCAGATCATAGGTATTCGCATGTTGTGGTTCCGGGTCAGAGATGAACCTGGTCTGAGGGAGAGAAAAATCAATAATTATTGAGTTGAATAAATTTTAGTTTGAGAGAAATGGGGGATCTGATCTGATTAGATCATGAATTGTCGTGTAAAGGAGACGTGAGCGGAAAAGCCAAGAAGCACTGGACAGGTGTTTCAACCTGGTTGGGACTCATCAGCAGTGCGAATTCATTTAACCAAATCACTATTCGACTTCAAAAGGCATTGAAACGTCTAATTCCTAACATCCGCAAGCGAAGACGCATATTGTGTGCCAGAATCGAGAACCATGAGTGTAAAGATCCCATGGGATTTGAACTATGTATGCTGGCCATGATAAACTTTGACCTTGTGTGATAACTAGACGCCACGGTCACGATGGTCTGGAGTTCGATTCATAACTCTACAAAAGATAATCAAATAGGATAACCCTGAGGTACGACAAACAACAGCAAAGTTGTCTATCAGCGATTGAGCGACATTGCGCTGTCTGAATGGCCACAGATTGCCACAGATCTATGGCCCGCAGTGGTGAATGCTAAACAGTGTGTCTACAGGTCGCGGATTTCAGGACGGCCAATATGTGGCTGAAAAGCCAGTTCTGTCTCCGACACTGTGTACCAGTTCAACTGTAGTCGGTGACGTGCACATAGGCACAACAAACCATCAGTTATTAGAACGAATGGTTGATACACGTATTGGCAAAATCGACAGGGCAAATCACATCGGCTGATAGTCAGAACTCAGAGAAAAACTCGGGTCATCTATAGCATAACACATGACAATCAGAAGCATGAATGATCCTGCTTCTTTCAAGTCACTATTCCTTAGCCGCAATGCTTAATTGCTGGCGTTTGGAGTCCAATAATGTCAATCCATTTTGCGAGCCCAAAAGTTGTTGAAGCGTTCAACTCCACTGTCCTGAAATTGACCTTCGGCTTCTAATTTTATAATTTCTTGTCTAATCACACCTCTGAATCTAACAGAAGCAAGAAAGACCTTGTCACAAACTGTTGTTATCATTCCAGTCTTAAACGGTGACGAGTCAACAGTGCACTCACAACGGACAAGCTTGAGAGCCTCGAACAGAGGAGCTGAACTGAAAAGCATGGGAACGGAACGGGAACTGGGTATCGAGATGCAGGGAACTTTTCGAATACGGACAGCAGAATTAACTACAAACGGGGAGAGCAAAGCAACATCGATTTTCTCTCAGGTGAAACATTGGCTGCGCTACAGTATGCAAACGACATTGCGCTGCCAAGTGAAGATTCAAGTGAGTTCGAAGCTATTCCCGGTAGTCGGAGTGCTTAACTAGCCATGTTCGATACACGTCCTGCATCTTCAAAGTGTAAAATGTTCCAACAACATTGGGTTGGCCCAAACCCAAACCTCAGTCTAACTGGATAACTTTTAGAGAGAGTAGGTAAATTTTGCTATCTGGGCAGCTATATCTCACCTGGTGGACGCCTCACAGATGAAGAGTCCGATCGTATACAAAAAGCCGGATTGGCAGTTGCCAACTTGAGATATCTGTAGCACCGTTGCGACATCCGGCTATCAGAGAAGAATAGAGCATATGTTGCAGTTATTGGACCAGTAATGCTTTACGGTGCCAAGATGTGGCTATAACGTATATATATATATATATATATATATATATATATATTACACACGTCTGAACCCAGACTGAGCCAAACAAATCATGGTACAATAATCTTTATGAAAAAGAAAAATGTTCCATGATTGCATGTGGGCCGAATATTGCCAGGTTGTCCAGGCCAAGGCAGGTAAATTTTCTTGAGGAATCCACAACCGGAGCCTTTGGCTAGCCAAAGCCTGGTCCGCAAGGCAACGGGGCTGTGTGCGAAAATCGCAATCCATTGAGGGCCGGTGTCCAGTTCATCGGATCATACGCCTTTCGAAGAGGGTCAAACGTCCAAGGTGCCAAAAACACCTCGATGCTTAGTCGAGCCGGTAGCCATTGCCACAAGCGGAAAGGCGTGGGTGTGGCTTGTACCCCTCTTCTTGGTTGGTTTGGAATCAGGCTTTTTGGTCAACTCCCCTAGGTGAACTGCCAGTAGTTCATCAACCCGGTTACAACCCCGGAAATAGGCTTTTCGTACTTTAACTTTTGTACAAAAACACCTTCACCACCAGAAGGCAGTGAGTAGGACTTTCTCATCAGAGGTTACTTGAGNGGTATAACTTTTGCACCTTCGAAGTGTAATATGTTCCCACAAGATTGGGTTGGTCCAGACCCAAACCTCACTCTAACTGGGGACTAGTAGAGGGAGTAGACAAATTTTGTTATCTGGGCAGCTATACCTCACCTTGTGGACGCCTCACAGATGAAGTTTCCGCACGCATACAACAAGCTGGTTTGGC